GCTCGGTCCTTCCAGCGGCAGCTGTGCCTCTCAACCCTGCTCCTTGAGCCAAGAGGGGGACGTGGCGAGCCCCTTCCCTCCTAGCTTTGCTGCAGCTTTGCTGGGGTGTGGTGGGAACAGTGCCAGGTCGCTGGGGTGGGTGCCTCCATCGCCGCCTTCTGCCAGCAGCTTTCACTTCAGGCGTTTCATAATTAATAAGCCAGTTTGAGAGAAAGGCTGTTGCCTTACGGAGAGGTTTGCAGAAGTGGGTACTGTGGTTTCCATCATCGGACGATAAAATGCCATTGCTGTGCTTGGAACGAGAGGCAGGCAGAGTGAAGATGCTGTAAATTGGTGGGATTTTTATTATTTTGGGAACATTGTAGCATTGAGCAGGATAATAAAATGTTTTTCTAATCATAACAGCCTCGAGGCGATAAACAAACAGTACATTTGTGATGTGAAATGTCTGTCGATTCTTTGTTGATGTGATTTAGAGCCTGTTAAAGCAGGCTGGCGCACTGTGCATGCATCCCGGCCAGGCTCTCCTGGGATTGTGTGCTGGGGTGCTCGGCTGGGAATGCGCTGCGTGGCTCGGGGCTTCCACCTCGCAGGCTTTTCTGAGTGAGAAAGCCAGTTTTTAAAGCCGGTGTGTGCTGCCTTAATCCTTGGGGCATCAGATTCTGCTAGTTTATTTTTCTAGGTACTCAGCCGTGAGAATAAATTCTCCCGTGTGTCCCCCCCCGGAGGAGGGCTTTGTGCTTTGGGAGAGAAACGGTCTTTTGTGAAACCCCCTTGTCCCTGCAGGGGCAAGCCAGCGACCTCCAGGCTGCAGGAACACGGTAGTTGTGGTGGTGCTGGGGAGCGGGAGCTGCACTGCGGTGGCGGGCTGTGCCACCGGACCCTTGCGCCCAGCTGCTGGGGTGGCCTCAGCATCTGAGCAGAGCTGCCAGAGCGACGGCGAGCGCCTTTCGCAGTGGAAGGCGAAGAGGGAACGTTCGGGAGCTGGCGTCGTTGCAGGGACTCTGGCTGGCGCATCGTGTTGAGTGCGTTCAACTGAAAGGAAATGGGGCAGGACCTGTAAGCGCAGCAGCGCTGGCTTGCCCTGCGGCTGTTGTGGAGGTGAGCTGAGCCGGCTGGGTGCTAAGATGCAAGCTTAAACACCGTCCTTGTGGTTTGGGTGGTAAGATGTGTGCTTAAACACCCATTCTTGCAGTCTTTTGACTATGTCTTCCAGTTTTACTTGGGATGATGTCAGCGGTGCAAATGCAAACCATAGTGCTGTTTGTCCTATTTGGGGATTTTCAAAGGGACGCATAACCCTGAAGTGCTCTAAAATCCATGTATTTTTATTGGGATTGTTTTCTGATTCCTGTAGATACATCTGGGTTTGTGGCCTGCAGTGCATCTCTAGCTTTAATAAGCAAAAACTGTTCTGCTGTCGATGTTGCTGTTCTCGCCACTTGGTGGCCTGAAAGCAACTTCTTTTTTTTTTTTTTTTTTTTTTTTTTTTTTTTTTTTTTGAGTGCTGTAGGTGCCAGCTACAGCTTAAGTTAACCCACATAAAAGTGGGTTCTTCTCACACCGCCCGGAGCCTCAGGCCGTTGCTCACCTCCAGCAGAGGTTTGTACAAACCTCCTGTTCTGCTGCGAGCGGCTGCAGTATCGATTTGGGGTGGGCAGCAAACCACAGTGTAGGCTGGACTCTGCTCCTGCAGGCTGGCCATCCCTGTGGAGATCGATCCTTGCTGTGCTGGGGGTGGAAGAGCATGAGCTGCGAGTTGTGCAACAGGGCTGACGCTGCACTTGGGTGACCCTCAGCCTCTGCCGTCACCTTGGCTGCCTCTCTGGGCACGCAGCAGCAAGCAGAGATCGGTGCTTGCTCCATGCTTGCTGTTTTCCAGGGCTGCCTATCGATCTCTTGGTGAATGTTTTAAAATTTGTTGATCAGCTTTCTCTCGGGCTGCTTTGAAACTGAGATGGAGAAACACCCCGTGCGTCTGCATGCCAGCAGCCCATCCCTTCCCGCTCCTCGCCCTAAGCCCCCGTTGGCTCTTCCCGGCTTTCCTCTCCCGGGGCTCGTTTGACCCCTTTCCTGTTTGCTGCTGCCTCCTCAGGACGTGAGCATCTCTGTCCTGCTAAGGGAGATGCCTTGGAGTCGTCGGGTGTTTTGAAACGCACGTTACGAGTTGCCGCCAGGAGAGACCGGGAGAAGCATGCCTGCCTTCAGCGCTGACAGCGCTCTGGGCGCGTCAGTTGTCTGAGCTCAGGTTGGGATGGCAGCAGTCGCCTTCAGGCAAGCTGTGTTTATTTTTGTGTTGCATGCCACGTGTGAATTAACTGGAGACTCTCAATTAAGTAATTAAATTTTGCTGATTTGTAAAGATGCGAGTTAGCTGTATTAGGATATTTCTTGCTGACCACAGCTTCTGCTGCTGTTTCGCCACAAAGACGTCTGCAGTTCCTCACCCTTTTATTAAGTACCAATCATTTGAGCTAAAATTTTCCAGGCCACACCTATGTCTTTTGGGGAAGCTGCAGTTAATAGCAATCAGTTCTGGGAATGGTTTAAAGAAAAATGCATTTTTTGATGACACTGAGCTTCTCGTAAAAACTGGTTTTGTTGTTTTTTTGTAACACTTTGCTGCTTTAAAAAATGGACTTGAGACTTGCTTCATCACTACAGATGGTGCATGGCTCCCTTGCTCCGGCGGCCCCGGCTGCACCGACACCGCGCTGTGCCGGCGCGCGGGGCTGCTCTCCGGCAGTGGTGGTGGTTTAGCCGTTTCACAGCAGCAGGTGAAGGAGGACGTGGAGGCTGCAGTCGGTTGGTGCTCGCTGTTGGTGCTCGCTTGGCTGCGGTGTCTGCCCGGCCGGTGCAGCAGCTGCGTGGTGGCACGCTGCACGGCCCCACGCTGCGGTGGGAGGCGTCAGGAAGGAAGTCTGCAAGCGTGTGTGTGTCTGTGTGTCTGTCTGTGTGTGAACGGGCAAGAGCTGGAGCTGTTTCCGGAGCATGGTGTCTCGGGGCTGGGCTGCTAAACCACCGCCGCTCCGTGCACCAGATCATTCGTGGCACTGCAGAAGCACAACCAGGGATGCAGCTGCTGCTCCGCGGACCTGCAGCCTTGTCCGGACCTGAAATCCCATGGTCGATGGAGGCCAGGCCAGGGTCGAGCAGAAAGCCTTGCAGGGAAGGAGGGCGATGCGTGCACTGCGGATAAGCTCTTGCAAAGTTCGTGCTGGGTGGAGTTTCCCTCTAGTTTCTAATCAGTGCTAAAGTGGAGGGGCTGCGTGACGTTCAATGGCAGCTGGGCAGGAGAGGAGACTCTTGGGTGGCTGGAATAACAATTAGTGTCCGTACTTGAAATGTTCTCAAAAACATCCTCTGAGGCTGGGACGCCGTCATACATCAAGGGGGAGCTGACTGTGGGAAGGGCCCGACTGCAGCGGCCCCACGACGAGCCCGTGGTCCCGTGCGCGCACTTTGAGCCTCGGAGCGGAGTGCCATCCTGCCTGCCCACCAGGTCCTGGCCCCTCAGGGTGCTCCGCTGCAGCACGGCCCCCTGCATGGTGGCTTTGCTTGGAAAGCTGCAGCCCTGCTGGGATGGGTCCTCCCCTGCTGCTGTCCTCCCGTGCCTGGAGGAGGGTGTCCTGCAGGGACACAGCTGCCATACTGCTGGTGGGACGCGGGCAGGACCCCTGCACAGGCGTGCTGTCACTGGGATGCTCTGCGCTTGCAGGACAGCTTCAGCCAAGGCAGTGCAGGCAGCTGCTGGGCTCCCCAGGATGGGTGCAGTCCTCGTGGGTGCAGGTGTCGTGTCCATGTGGGAAACCTGGCATTTGGGCTGACGTGTGGGTTTCGGTTCCCTACCTGGTGGGGTTTGCATGCTGCAAGGGGCCAGCCTGCTGCCTCAGCGGGCGATGAGGCTGGAGAGAGATTTGTTCCTTGGACTGGAGCCGGGGAGATCCTGGCAGCGTGGGCAGCTCCTAGTGCAGAGGTTGGCATCCCCATGACCCTGCCTGGAGGCACGAGCGTGACCTGCCAGACCTGGGGAGTCCTCCGGGCCCCGTCTCCTTTTGCTGTTAGTGGTTTGGGGACTCTGACTATAGTCTGACTTGTGCCTGATTTCAGCATTTGTACCAAAGCCTGCGGCAGGCAAGTCTGGAACTGCTTCCTCTGGGATGGACTGTTGTGCCGGTCGCTTGTGTGCAATGGAAGCGTGCCATGTTTGGACTGTTGTCCCCCAGGTTTTAAACATCCCAGCTGCTCCTGTCCCCCTGAGGCTTCTCCCTTCCAGGAGGCTTCATTTCCTAAAAGAGCAGCCGCCTTCCTGCTTCCCTTGGTTTCTCCTTCTGGGTCAGCCCTGCGAAGGCCGCCGTGGTGGAGCGGTGCCGGTGCCTGAGGGCAGATGGCCAAGTCGCAGGCATGCCGCGTCTGGCTGCCGGCACTGTCTGTG